CGAGTCACATTGAGAGTAATCTCTCCGATAGTCGAGCCATTTTGAGAGTAATCTCTCCGATAGTCGGGTCGTTTTGAGAGTAATCTCTCCGGTAGTCGAGCCACTTTGAGAGTAATCTCTCCGATAGTCGGGTCATTTTGAGAGTAATCTCTCCGGTAGTCGGGCCACATTGAGAGTAATCTCTCCGATAGTCGGGTCATTTTGAGAGTAATCTCTCCGGTAGTTGAGCCATATTGAGAGTAATCTCTCCGATAGTCGGGTTATTTTGAGAGTAATTTCTCCGGTAGTCGGGTCACATTGAAAGTAATCTCTCCAGTAGTCGAGCCACGTTGAGAGTAATCTCTCCGATATTCAGACAAGGATGAGTAACCATCCCTTACACCCGGGATGAATACCCATCCCTTACACCTTAAGACTACCTTATTCATACGTGGATCATCTTGTTAAAAAATAATATATTCTTCTCGCCTAACCTACAAAAAAACTAAAAAAAAATAAAAAACAAAATATAAAACAAAATAAAAAAAAAGACGAACAAGACGCAGAAAAAGGAAAAAACATTACCTGTAAAAAGAAACAGACGTGAAAAGGCTTGAGACGATGCGTCTTAGTGTTTGTAATTAATGAGCAAGGTGCTATATATAAAAGCAGATGTTGGTGTCCAAAACAGTTTATCACGATGTGGGAATCGCGACAATTAGTCTTCGAAAGGGATTTGGACTCGTGAAGGATGAGGCGGCATAAACTTTTCCTTTTCCGAGTAAAAAGAATAGATTCTTTTGATCCCTTTACGTGTCAAATTAACATGAAATTTGTTCTTAACAAGGGAGACAAGATGTATTGATTCTACAATTGACCAAACAATTGAAGTTCAATGCTCAATTCCTTATCCTACTTGTGAAGGAATTTAAATGCAAGAAACTGATATTGACGTTAATAACAAAGGAGCCATCCGATTTAGATCTATTCATGAGTTACTTCATGGGTAATAATTAATAAATTGCCACATGCTCTGAGAACATTCAAATCAAAGAGAATTAGTGTCTCTCAAGCTACCACGCGGAGGAAGTACATCTAAATAAAATCGTTCTTCAAGTCTAGTTTTTAGAATTTATATCTGGACGAACCTTGAAGTAGGGGCATTTGTAGGCATATAAATTTTATTGAAATTAAATTCATAAAATAATTTAGATTATATTTTAAATTCAAGATATATTAGTTCAAATAAATTTATTGGGTTAATATAATTGGATTAATTGTATAAGTCCAATATAAATGGATTAAATAAATAAGTCTTAATCCATTGGGCTAGCTCATTTAATTGGACTAAAGTGATGAGCCCACTTCGTTAGGCCCAAGATGTCATCTTCCTAGAGGCCCACTTTGGTGCCACGTGTCAAATGACGTGGCGCGCCAAGTCAAATGGAAGGGCCAATAGGATCATGCCACGTGTCAAAATGACAAGGCATGTCAAGTCACATTAGAAGGCCAATGAAATCGTGCCACGTATGCAAGTGACATGTTCTGACCAATCAAATACGGCCTTGTCACACTTCGATTTGATTGGTCGGAAAGAGTTTGTTCTTATCATAACTCTTCCCTCCCACAACTATAAATATGGGTCTTCATAACCCAGAAAAGACACCAGAAGTTATAACAAGAAGCAAGAGAGAGCTCGTGGATCAAATGCCACAAATTTCTCCACAAGTTTCAAACTTCAAGCAATCAAGTTCAAGTTCAAGAAATCAAGTTCAAGCTCAAGAACGAAGAACAAGTCAAGATTCAAGGAATACGTGTTCAAATCAAAGTTCGTGCTAGTTGAATTCAAGATCATCGTTTGTGGAAACAAATATATGTTCAAGATCAAGCTCAAAGGCCCTTGAATTTATTTACTATTGGAAAGAAGAATTAGAGAATTCATAGAGATTGTACACTTAAATATTTGAAATAAAATACTACGATTGTTGCAATATTTTTCAGTCTCGATTATTTTCCTGTCGTAAATTTATTGTCTACAATTGCATAATCAAAAATACTCATGATATAATAAGAAAAAGAAGAAGGTGATGTATACGTTGTACACACAATATACACATTTTACACTAGTATAAAGTGTATATACACTTTTTATACATCATAAAATAATATATACACTTCTTATGCATTGCAGAATAATATATACACTTTTTATACATCGTAGAACAATATATATACTTTGGATACTCTAAAACGCTTAGAATACACTAAAGATATTTTAGGNCTAGTATAAAGTGTATATACACTTTTTATACATCATAAAATAATATATACACTTCTTATGCATTGCAGAATAATATATACACTTTTTATACATCGTAGAACAATATATATACTTTGGATACTCTAAAACGCTTAGAATACAATAAAGATATTTTAGGGGTACACCAAAAAATATAGGATACACTTTATATATAAAATTTATACAATGTATTAGTATATATACAATTTCGTCTCTTTTTTTTTGCTCACCAAAAATAACCCAAAGACTGAAAAACTTCTCATAGTTGAAATTGTATAAAGTGTATATATATATATATATA